TTTGAAATAGTTGTTTCCTTTAATTTTTCTATCACTGGCACAAGCATTTGGTTGCTAGTGATCTGTCCAAAGTGAATCCTAATTGAAAAACAGAACAGAGCAATGTTACAAAGAGAGGTTGTGGCCCTACCTATCCCTTCTAGAAACAGCAAATAGATACAATATCAAAGCCACAACAACAAAAGATATAGATTTGTTTCACCATATCATGGGAGTATAGAAATGCTTTTAGCAAAAAAAGCTAAATAAGTTTCTTTCACCACTATTCTGTTCAATTTGATGATAATTTTAAAAATATCTAATTATCAGTAATATTGCTGCATATGAATAGGTTCTCACAACTTGCCCCAAATTATAAATATGCCAACAAAATAATATATCATTGTTCTTCTCTTGCTACTATTCTGAAAGAATATAATGAATGTGGGCTTCAGAATCATGAAAACAGTCCAATTCACCAAATAACTATTTCGTCAACTCACTAAATACGTATACCTGTTTAACTATTTGGTATTGGCTGAGCAGTTTTGTCTTCATAACAGTATTTTAAGGAATGTTCCATTTTTCTCTATTCCTGTGCTCTGCTGTAACAGCTTAAGAGTGAAGGTCAGAGAGTGGGAGATGAGAAGAAAATATTCTGAAGTCTTTGTAAATTCAAGGGTACTTCAAAAAATTTGTGGAAAAATAGAATTAAAAGATTAAAAACAAATCTTTCCATGAACTTTTTGAAGACCCCCCATACAATCTTCTTAATTACATACTGACAAAGAATTGTTCATATTTAAGAACACAGCCTAATAAACATATTACCTTTATGTTCCTTAGTTTCTATGTCCCTACATTTTCATTTTCACCTGTAGAGATGTGGAGAAATAAACTGACTATTCCTTAAAAAATGTTGTTATGAGGACAAAAAAAATAAAAATTAAAAAACCCAAAAAAACATTAGTTAGCTTAAGCCAAATAGTTAAAAAAAAAAAAAAAAAAAAAAAAACCCAAAAAAAAATTATTTAGCTTAAACCAAAAAGTTAAAAAAAAAAAAAAAAAAAAAAAAACCCAAAAAAAAATTATTTAGCTTAAACCAAAAAGTTAAAAAAAAAAAAAAAAAAAAAAAAACCCAAAAAACAGCAAAAGAGGCAAATTGGCCATTCAACAACTGCCTTTCAGCACACTGACTAGAATCAGAGCTATTATTATCTTAGTACTGTAATCTGGAGGCCTATGACTGATTAAGCACTTTTGAGCAAAGTGATTACCATTACATATTACTCAAAGAGGCAGGTCATCACTATCCTTGTTATAAAGGTAAGACTAGTTCCAAAGCATAAGAAATACTTTATGTCAGACAGCACAGAAATTCTGTAACAGTCTGAAATTGAAACATAAGATTTCTTAATCCCAAAGAGTTTGCAGCTTCAGGTAGGGTACTACTGGAGCAGTTTTGTTGAGTAGACATGGTATTCTTTGGAAAAGAACATTACCTGAGGAGAAAGAAGAGGCACCTACATAGAAATTCAACATCAGAGCCCAGCTGGATGAATTCATTAAACAGCGTGAGAATGTCTGGGACATAGGAGAAAGGCAGCACAAGTAGAGATTCTTCCAGCTCACTGAAGAAGAAATAAATATTAAAAATTTCACACTTCTTAACATGGTCAACTTTTAAATCTTTTCCTTTACTATTTTTTCTACTCTTTTACACTTGACTAAATCTAGCCCATTTGTAGTTAAGTATTCAACTATATACTAGATGATTCTCTCTTTTCAATGTTTTGTTTTCTATATTTAATATTTTAATCTATTTGGAATGAATTTTAGTTCATGGCATGGTGGAAGAATCTGACATTTTTCCTCCAGATAAACAGTTTCTCAAAAGCCTTTTGTTGAATATTCCATCTTTGTATGATAATTCTTTTTATCACAGATTAAGTCCTTATATATGATACAATGTTTCAGAGCTTTTAAGTCTATTGTGAGGACTGATTGATTCTGACACCCATCCTGCCCTATTTTAATTTTGTTAATTTTATAGCTTGTTAATCTAGGAGAATAGCTCCCTCTAGAACTAGCTCTAGTATCATTTCATCAATTCCAATTAGAAATCTCAAGAGGGGCTGGACAGTTAGCTCAGTTGGTTAGAGCGCCACCTTGTAAGGCGTTTGGTCAAGGGTTTGGATCCCCATACTGGCCAGCTGCTCCACCCCATCCCCTCAAAAAAACACAAAAAAAATAAAAAAGAAATCTCAAGAAGATTTCAATTGAGATCACAAACCTATTCATTAGCTTAAGAAAAATGAAATCTCTCAAACATGGAACTGTTTCCATCTTGGAATGTACTGTGTAGTTCCATTAACCAAATTTCTTTTACATTTCTCTAGTGAAGTTTGATCATTATCCTCAGATAGGTCCTGTTTATTTCTTGTAAGGGATATATGTAGCTATTTTGATTTGTTATGAAAATGATAACCTTCAGTAGGTCAAACTCATAAATAAAAAGGTAAATCACAAATAACATTATTCTAAAAATATATGACAAAGCACATAAAAGAATTCTTAAAAACCAGTAAGAGAAACTACTAAAGAACACAAAGAAAAAATAGTAACTAAAAATTCACAAGAAAAAATATGAATAGTCAACAAATATGCTGAAATTTTAGCCATAAATAAAAAGGTAAATCACAAATAACATTATTCTAAAAATATATGACAAAGCACATAAAGAATTCTTAAAAACCAGTAAGAGAAACTACTAAAGAACACAAAGAAAAAATAAAAATTCACAAGAAAAAATATGAATAGTCAACAAATATGCTGAAATTTTAGCTTCATTAATTAAAAGGCATAAAAATAATACAATACCACCTTTTGCCTCTCAAACTGGCAAAGAATTTTTAAAGTCTGGATAAAAATCAGCACTCTGGACAGTAAATTGCAATATAAACCTTTAAAAAGCTCATACCCATTCATTAGTTATTAGGCTGCTAGGACTCTTAAGGAAAATAATAACAATGACAAAGATTAATATGTAAAAGTGTTCACTGAAATACTGAAGGTATTCATTATTGATAATAGCAAAAAATGAGAAACAAATGCAACATCCAATAGTAACCATTCATACAATGGAATATTTTGAATTAATTCAATGATATGTTTTTGAAGAATATTAATAACATGAGAAAATGTTCTGGAAATATGGCAAAAAACAGGATACAAAATTGGATATAGTATGATTCCAGTTGTATATGTACACAGAAAATAAGCCAAAGAAAATATACAACAAAACATGTTAACAGTTAGTACTTCTGATTGAATTATATATTTCATTACCTACAAAATAAACTACTACCCTTCATTTGTCTTTGAAAGCATCTCCCTTCATATTTTAGGAGGAGCCTCCTACTTCTAGCACTTCAAAAAGAACATTATAATAAATTATTTTCCATAAAAAATTTGACATAGTTAAACCTATAAAGAAAAGAACCATCAATTATAATTTCTATTTATTTCATGTTCAGATAAACATTCAATAAATGTTGTAAGCTGAAAATTATAATTGTACACTAGGACTCACCTTGACTTGATTCCTTTAAAAATTTCTAATACATAAGATGAAGGCTATAAGGGAAGGATAAGACCATTAGTGATACTCTTAGTTGGTTTCTACTAAAGCTTTCTAATTTCCATCTCCTAAAAATACAGGGACCCCTCTCTCTCTCATTTAAGAAACTGCTCTAAAATGGCAAGACATGCATAGGCTTAGAGTTAGCTAGATCTGGGTTCACAATCAAGCTCTTCCCCTTATCAACTATGTTAAAAGTCAGGCCAGTTTCCTTATTTATAAAATGAAGACACGCTGATGCAGGTAATTATGGTGATGAATGAGACATGCAAGTAAAATACTAAATAATTAGAGATTGCTAGATAAACATACATTCTCCCATTACTCTCCCCCTTCTCTTTCTCTATCTGATTGATTTATGTCAACTTTTCCTCCAAAGCCTTATTTCAAAGAACAATCTTCAAAGGACTTTGAACACTGAACTTAAATAAGCACTAGAAAACAGAACACCAGTCCAATCCAACTAAAAAAGCTGACTTGGGAAGTTACACTAAAGGGGTCCTTTTCAAATACAAAATATCCTACAGGATGCCAACATTCTATTGATGTTGTCTCATCTCTGATGAGATGTTTAAAGACAAAGTATTTCCCAATACATCCATCCCCAAAACATAATGCCTCTTCACTTCCTTTCTTTTCCCTGAAAGTAACCAAAGAGAAACTGTTAGATATTCTACTCACTGAGATATTGCCATACGCCATCAGGATGGGGTTGACAGGAAGAGGAACCTACAAAGAAATTATTAAATCAAGCCACGAAAACACCAGGATTTTGATAGTGCTTGTCACAGACAGAATAATAACAGTATTTTACAATTCTGAAAAAAGAAAAGAAACCCTAAAAACTGAGAGTATAAAAGAATTATCAGGCCTTTTAGTTTTTGTAGTACTTATGAATGAGTTTGGGCAATATGTTTTATCTAGAAATCTGACATGGTTACCCTGACTCCCAAACTAAAGTGGGAGCATGAGTTTCTGCTCAATACAATAATTACCCAATCTATAATTTCCTAGCCTTTCCTTTTTATTAAGAACAAGCTTCCTTCCTCCCACTCAATTTCTTCTAATATTTGAATTAGAAAAGATTCTTTTGCATTTATCTCATATCCTACTCTGAGTTAAATCCTGAAATTTCTAGTCAGAAATTTTATTTATAAATAGTTCCCAGAGTGTAACTTAATGGACTGCCACTCAATTTCTTCTAATATTTGAATTAGAAAAGATTCTTTTGCATTTATCTCATATCCTAATCTGAGTTAAATCCTGAAATTTCTAGTCAGAAATTTTATTTATAAATAGTTCCCAGAGTGTAACTTAATGGACTATTTTACCTCTTTCCCTGCAGCTTTACAAATGGCTTTGTGTTCTTTCAATTTTGCAGTTTCTTCTCGGTATAGCTCAATAGCCTCCATGATCCTTTCAGCCTACACAGATGATGACAAAGGAAAGAAATCATCACAACACTCTCCAGCATCCCACGACACTGAAACTAGAAGGCCTGACTACAAACTTACCAAATGTAACAGCTTGGATCGGTTTAATAAAGATGTGCTAACACAGTGCCAAATAGCATTTAAAGACATCTTTTAGTTTGCTTTTCTTTTTTTTAATTTAACAGGAAGAGGGTAAGTATCATGGACTCAGGTGAAACTATATCTGGACACCTTGAGTAAGGCGGTTCCCAGGAACACCAGGAAGGTGCTACTTTCAGAAGAAGATCATGCTTTCCTTTCTAGAAACCATGCTATGATCAAACAGATTCAGGACTACTCCTGTCCTTGGTTACAAGGAAAGAAAACAGTGGTATTATGATCTCCATCTTTTTTTTTTTTTTTTTCCTTTTTGTCTTTTTTTTTTACTGACCGGTACGGGATCGCAACCCTCGGTGTCGCGCCCGCGCCACGCTCAGCCAGTGAGCGGGAACCAGTTCCTTTTTGTCTTTTTTTTTACTGACCGGTACGGGATCGCAACCCTCGGTGTCGCGCCCGCGCCATGCTCAGCCAGTGAGCGGGAACCGGTCACCACATGGGATCAGAAACCTCGGCAGGAGTGCCACCACACTCCCAAGCGGCGCGCTCTCCAGTGCGCCACCGGGCTGGCCCTATGATCTCCATCTTTAAATTTCATCAACTTTTAGAAACCTCGGCAGGAGTGCCACCACACTCCCAAGCGGCGCGCTCTCCAGTGCGCCACCGGGCCGGCCCTATGATCTCCATCTTTAAATTTCATCAACTTTTAGCCACAAGAGGTCTACTTGGTTGATACAAAATAAGACTTTTACTAAACAGTTGGGATTCTAATAAAAAATGAGATATATGTTTTTTTGTTTGTTTTTTTTTGTGACCGGTAAGGGAATTGCAACCCTTGGCTTGGTGTCGTCCACACTGTGCTCAGCCAGTGAGCATACCAGCCATCCCTATATAGGATCCGAACCCGCGGCGGGAGCACCACCGCGCACCCAAGCGCCACACTCTCCCGAGTGCGCCACGGGGCCGGCCCGAGATATATGTTCTATAGTAACTTACTGCTTTGACTGTTTCAATAGTTTTCTTTCCAGTAAAGTAGCTGTCACCTTGAGTCTCCCCTGGAACCTGCCAAAAACAAAGAGATCTTTGAACAATATCATCGACAGGAGTTAAAGAGCCAATAAATTAATCTTATATCCATCAAAGAACAGGAATTACTATTTTATGAAAATGATAACAGTGTTATCAGCTACCATTATCTGAGTGCTTAATAAGTGCCAGACACTATGCTAAGAATTTTATATGCATCATCATAAAAATATCCTGCAAATATCTAAAGAGAATGTCCAATTTCTCCAATTTTTTGATTTTTATTTTTCTTCTATTGTGAATTAAATAATTCCCTGAAGCCTTAAAAAAAAAACCCAGAATGACAATTATTCAGTACCAAATTTGGTCAGTCACTTGTCCCACGAAACTAAGATATACTTTACTAAGATAAAAAAGGACTACACAGCTTCTTTCTCACATCAGCTGGTAAAGCCTTTGGCATCTAGCTCCAATTCTAATTCCACTAGAAATTCTTAAAATTATAGTAAATTTCAATACGATAATTACAGAGCATAATCTCAAGGTCCCAAAAGATTTACTTACTGCTGGTTGATCTTCTTTGGCCACACTCTCCTCGTATTCTGCTTCCCTTTGCTGCCAATGTAAAGTGACATTAGGCAATGAGAAGCTACTTCTCTAAAAACATAATCCCCTAATGGCATCTCTCTGTCTGGCTTCTGAAATAGATGTCTTGGAAACATCTCCTGGAGGTTCTTGGACTTGCCCTGAATGACGTGTGACTGCATTAGAAAACACCCACCATATTTATAACCAAGCCTAAAGTTCTTACCATCTCCCTTTCTTCCTCAAGAATAAGAGGCTCCCTGGTTCTCTCCCAAAGTCTCAGAGATTTGTCATGGGATGATGATACAACATAGTCTCCATTGGGGCTTATAGCCAAACACCATATTTCCTGGTGGTGCCCCTGGAGAAAGACAAAAGAAAACCAAAAACCTATACCTCATTCAGACCACTACCTGCTCATATTAGTGGGTAATATAAAAATTCTTAAAAGTGGTTCTAAAGAACCAAGCAAGCAAAACAGTCAAAAGATTACCTCCAAAGTTTGTATGTGTTCAAATTTGTCTGCATCCCACTGCTTAATCTTACGGTCTTTCCCAGCGGTGAAGAAGAGGTGAGACTTAGGTACAAACTGTAAGTACATTACACTGAAAAGAAGTATTAAAATGTCATCAAATTTCAGGATGAAAAGAGTCTTACACACATAAACAGCTTTGACTAGCTAGTTCTAGAATGTCTGACTATATTTTAGAACTTTCAACTTACCATTGTCTAACACTAAAAAATAGATGCTGATGCTCTAGGGAAATGATACTTAGAGATTATTCAACAGGAGGTCTTTATAAAGACTACACCTACCTATCATCATGTGCAAACAGAGATTTGTGGCAGTCCCCAAAGTCCAAACCCCAGATTTTCACATTCCTATCAGCAGAGCCAGTTGCTATTAGTGCTCCATCCTATGAGAAAGAGAAGTAAAACATTAATTTACAGAATTCAGATATCAAGTACATAAATAGAAGCTAACCAGAACATTTAACCCATTTCTTTCAAAAACATTAATAAAGCCAAAAAATTTAATCTCATCTCTCTACTAAGAGCACCTGATTATTTGCTTTTCCTATAAAGCTACTCAAAAAACTTAAGTGAAAGCATGAACTCTATGGCTTAAATATTTTTATATTGCCACAGGGCAGTGTTGTGCCCTGATGTAGGGTTATCTACTTACTTTGTTAATTAGATAGGAAAAAGAATCTCTAATCTATGGTATGGGAATTGGAGAAGAGTGGAAGAGGGAAAACGGAGAGATAAGTCTGGAAAAGAATCTACTAGAATGTTTATGACCCACCCTTGTATCTCATGTTCCCTATCACCATTTCTCTTACCTTTCCCATTTCAATACCTAGTTCAAATGGTTGTCAACATAAAACAATTGGAAATATTTTTAATGCTTTAACTTTGTTCAGACACTGATCACAGCTATAGGGCCAATTCCTTTCACACAGAATAGACACTTCTAAAATATACATTGCTGCCTCCTAATCATAATTAGGCATTCGAAATATGTGATTTTGGTCAAGAGACTAAAAGTACACATAGTGGAAAATACCATAAATATCCAAATATAAAGTCAAGTTTCTTCCTCCTCACCAACATTATCTTTCAGAACAAAAGGTGAAGCCTTTTTTTAAAAAGTCTCATATTTTAGGGTGCTCTATCAGTTATAATATTTTAGACAACAAAATACTATCTGGAGAGCATAACAGGGAATAATAAAGGCTAACTGAGATAATATTTGTGAAATTCTTCTGAAAACATTAAAATTATATATTTTTAAGATATGATTATAATATATATATTAATTTGTGACTGCTTTTGGAGAAAGTCAGACATAACAGAAGGATAAAAATACATACTCTAAAGTGATGATAATTAAGCCCAGAACTGAAAATGTGTCTGCTCTGGAAAAGACAACTTGTAACTAAGACATATTTTAAACTTTACTTACATAAGAGATGTCCATGCATATAACAGGCAGTTTGTGTCCATATAGTGAGAGAAAAAACTAATGTTAAAAAAAGAGAGAATATAAATAATTTATGTCTGTCTATAAAATAGGTATAATTTATTACACATAGGTCTATATATAATTTTAAAATACAATACTAAACACATTTCTGAATTTCTTTATATCTGTATTTTTAAAGACAACAATTAAACCACTGAAGATAGCTTGTTAAGAGTACCTATGTCCACTATATAGACCCTGCCTGCACTTGCTAATACCACAATACAGTGGAGGAAAGGAGACCCCAAGAAGCCTCCTGCCTCAGTCAGAATAAGGCAACAGAGATGTTCTCTGGACCTCTTAGCTGAAAAGACTCTGAGGCACTTGATTCACAAAAATATTCCAAGTCCCAATCCTGTCCTACTGACTCTCTGGGCGTAGGGCCCAGTAATCCATATTTTTAAAAGCAACCCAAATGATCCTGATGTACAGCCAAGTATAAAATCACTGCATAGGACACTCAGCAATGCTCTTATAACTACTGGCTATCACAGGATTTTCTATACACAAGAATTTCTGAACATATGAAATATAACCTCCTTTAAACAAAATTTATGAACCAAAGAATTCTTTAAAAATCTAGCTTCCTAGCACACTCAAAATGTTTTGATTCACATACAAATTTTTAGAAATGTATTACTGCTATGCACAGTCAAGACTACTTCTTCATAGTCTCACTCCAAATTCTTAAGGTCAGTCAGAAAGAAAAAAAACATTCCCAGGCAATAACCACTGTACCTTCAAAGTGTCGACATAGAAAATTTTCACGGTACAGTCCAGCAAAGACACAGCCAATAGCTTCTGATTGGGAGAGTAACTAACACATAGAACATCTTCATCTAGTTGCAAGATTCGAGTTTGCTTCACAGAAAGTCTAGCACCACAGAAAAAAATAAATGAGTACTCCACAAATACAGGCAATTCCAAACCCTCTAGAGCACAACAGAGGTACACAAGTCTAAAGGCCATTCAATGGCTCCCTATTTTTACTCCAAAAAATGAACACAAAACATATCTACTCACCTCTTTTGGGTACTATTTTCATCTTTGACCAACTCAAAATCCCAGAACTTGACAGATTTATCTGCACCACCTGTCACAAAGCCACGCTGAAAGTCAAATGACATTTCTATTAAATATGACTTTAGCATAAAAACTTTGCTAAGAAGACACATCAAAATAGTCTAAAAAATTTTTTTATTTAATGGCATGGTATAAAAATTAGGAAAAACGTGGTTCTCCCTAAGCCCTTTTACTGCTCTTTTGGGACTGCTGCCACAGACCTTATCTGAGAAATCCTAACA